CCCCCCCCCCCCCCAGCACAACCAGCATCACAGCCAAACTTCCAGTATGGAAATGACCAAGACATGCAAATCAGCTTCAGCTGTGAGCGCAGGAAGCCGTGTTAGCACTCTGCCCTGCACATCCACACACACACACACACACACACACACACACACACACACACACACGCGCACACTGAAAAACGACGACTTAAAGGGTTGTTTCGTCTGTCACTCCATCTGTTTGTCCTAAAAAAAGTGTCTTTTTTTTAAAGAGTGACTGAGTAAATTATTACAAACTGCTGCAGTGATATTTACCCCTTTGGCACAATAATCAATTTGACTTCAGTTAATCTTGAGGGCTGAACAAAAGATGTGTCCCGGTGCCATTCTACATCCTAGTAGAGAGAATAAGTACTTTATTTATCATTTAATGAATCCAATGAACAAAAACGTGTCAACAATAGCTTAAAAAAGGAGGTTCTTACTGCACTATACATGTGTGAGGTCGCCATAGAGCAAGCAGTGCTAGATGAAACGCAACAAATACTGTAAAAGGTAGTAGTACTGTTTACTTTAAGTACTATTATAGTAAATGTCACTGTGCATTTACATTTTGTACGAACAACAAATTTTACAATACGAACACGTCACAAACTGTGATGTCAGAACCTCACGTGTATTTAAAGGATGTCCAATGTCTATATTTTTATTATTGTCAGCCAACTGCATCTTTAAAAGTAATTAATCACAAATATATAGTTTTGTTTTTTTAAAAAGGGTTCATGAACGTGTCACACTTCTTCTTTTTTTTTTGGTGTTTTCATTTGTTGACAAAAAGTAAAATGTAGAATATTTTCAGACTTATTACTTTTTTCTACAATTTTGCAGCTTTGTGCATTGCATTATGGGACAGCAGACTCAGTTTAGGCACTTTTTATATGAAACTGAACATCTAATTATTCACTCTGTCACTTTGATTAATCACATGTTCCATTTTCCAATCGATAAACTATGTAGTGTTCTTCTCTTCATTAACAAGCTCGCTCTGACATGAGGATTATTGTTTTGCATCTGTCCTTTCTGTTTTCACATGTCATTATGTTTTTAATTAGTTGGACAGTGAAGTAGATAGTATATTGATATTATTCTGTGTTTCTTTTGATTTTCAAGATATAAAAAATAAAAAACACAGCAGAAAGCTTCACAACAGAGAGAGTTTAAATCAAAGATCAGACAAAACATTTTTAATTAAAGTATCTGCAAAGAATTTAGAATGTGTCTGCAAAATGTTCCAGCTCTCAGCAACTTAAAGGGACAGTGCACCCCATATTTGTCCTCTCACCTGTAGTGCAATTTATCATTCTAGATCGTTTTAGTGTGAGTTGTCTAGTTTTGGAGATATCTACCGTGGAGATGTCTGCCTTCTCTCTAATGTAATGGGACCCAGCTACGCAAGATAATCTACAGACTTTGTTGTGAGCAGTTCCATGTAGGAACTACTTTCTTTCTACCTTAGTTCCTGCATGAAGCTGCTCACAACAAAGTCTGTATTTAGTATTTTACTCCTATTATATTGAAGAGAAGAAAGAAATCTCTACGGCCATTATCTCGAAAATTAGGTATAAATAGCATTACATGTAAAAGGATATGTATATATATAAATATATATTTTGGGGTGAACTGTCCCTTTAAGCACAATTTAAAGAAGATCTTGGTTCAAAGACTTTCCTTAACCTTAACTGAAGCTTTTGTTGCCTAAACCCAACACCACAGAGGATTCTGGGTAAAAAAAACAAATCTCTGGTGTCAAAGTCTTGCACTTCGTACGTCCAACAGCAACCCAGACTATGACAATGTTCATAATTTCTAGGAGTTTGAGTTGCACAGAGAGAGTCTCAAACAACTCCCCTCTCTTTGACTTCCCTTTGATAGTTGGGGAGTTAAAGGGTTAGTTCGCCTACATTATACAAATCCTCTCACTTTCCCTGTGGCCGTATCGCTCCACGTGGACAGTTCTGGTTTCATTTGTTTATGTTCGTCTCTGAGATTGTTAAAAATAATGAATATGTTTTGTTTAAGAGAGACAATATGTGTATATTTGAGCTGATATTAATACACTCAGGCCTCCTAATAACTAATAACGAGCGCTGCATGAACAAGTGCAGCTTTGGCTTCATCTGATCTGACAAAAGAATGCTCATATATTGATCAAAAACACAGACGTGATGCACTTCCACGAAACAGAGACGTTTCTCTCACGCAGCCATTGTCTGAATTTAAAAGTTCCACTTTTTTTTCTGCCTGTGGTTCCTGGTTTTGTGTTTTTTGGTGTGTGGTTGGTGTCCTCGGCCCCCCGCAGGGCAGCCGGCATGCTTCTCTCATCAAACAGCCTCAGGGGCATCCTGGTACGGCAACCAACTGCCACGATATCCTCACACACACACACACACACACACACCCACTGACACACTACTTCCTATGAAACAGGAGCTGGTCTAAATGATGCTTTTATTTCTGCCACATCATACGGACCAGTACGAGGAAAATATTTGTAAATTTGAGAAGTCGTACTTAAAGAGACAGTCCACCCCAAAATCAAAAAACATATTTTTCCTTTTACCTGTATAGTTTTTATTTCAATCTAAACTGCCATTGTAAATAGAAATTTGTTCTTAATGACTTTGTCTGTTACATAAATGGTTAAATGATAAGAAAATTGGAAACAAAGAATTATAATTTGGGTGAACTGACCCTTTAAATCTTGAATTTGTCGAAGTGAAGCAGAGCAGAGATGGTTTATCTGCACCTGCTCTCTTTGTTAAACCCCCGTCTCGTAAATGATGAACATTTTGTGTAAATCGAATGGCTGCCTTGATTATGTTCAGCAGAAACGTTTCTTTGATATTCTGGGTTGATGTTAAACGTACAAATTGACAGACTTTGACACCATGGAGTTGTTGTTTATTTACCCAATAAAATCACTTTGTTTCAGGTGAAGGAAAGACTTTCGACTTCTTTGAATCATTCTTAAAGGGACAGTTCACCTGATCAAATCATGACCCGGTTACTCAAGATAATGCAGACTTTGTTGTGAGCAGTTTCATGCAGGAACTATGGTTGGAAGAAAATAGTTCCTACATGAAAGTGCTCACAACAAAGTCTGTCTGTGTTTTTTTGTGTGTGTATCACTTTAAGCAACACAAGCCGAGAGTCATATAATCCCATTATATTGGAGAAAAGGCAAACATCTCTACATTTGATATCTCCAACACTAGACAACTCACCCCAAAACAATCTAGATTGATACACAGCACGACAGGTAAGATTTGAGGTGAACTGTCCCTTTAAATACAACTTCTCATCCTGGTCCAAATGATGTGGTAGAAATAAAAGCAGCATTTTGAACGTGTCGTAAAAATATGTGTTTTTGATCGTAGGGTGAACTGTCCCTTTAAGTTCTTTAGAAAGGAACATTTAGCAAATACATTCTGTGTTTTTTGAGACTTTGCAGATACGTTTATTAAAAATGTTTCCTCAAGTATTAACCTGATGTAAATAAAAGCACCAAAGATCATTGAACAAGAAGGAAAAAGTACATTTTAGTCTTTTAAAATGTTCTGAAGATAAATTAATTTCAGAGATTATTTTTACCACTTAAGAAAAAGCAAACACAAACAATCTTCTTATATTATACTCTTTGTGTTGAAGCTGTTAAACTCCCTAAATAAAAAACAAATGTTCAAATATAAAGACAATAAACAACAACATCACACAAACTCTTCCGTGTGTGTGGAGAGGATTCAGCTGTGGGGTGGGATTTAAAAACAGACAAACAGGTGAAACCATCCTTACCTGTCGGCTCGGCCGGAGCCTCCGACTGCTCCACCGTGTCTGCGCTCATCTTAATATCTGCAACGATAAATACGGCTGATTTTCATACAGGATTGTGGCTTTACCAGGATAATGAAGCACCCAGGAAAATGATCTTGAGTTTATTCTAATACCTTCCCCTCCCCTCCCACCACACAGAAAAACACTCCTAGTTGTAATATTCATAAGCTGATGTTCCCATGAAGCACTTTGATGAAGGAACCTCTCATTTGAACTCTGTGAGGGTAATAAATAAAAGTAATGAAGTTGAGAGTGACTCACCTTCAGACAGACCAACAGTTTGCGTCGCTCCAGCTGCCGTCCGTCCTCTGATTATTCAAAAAGGAAGCAAGTGTTGTGGATGAAAACTTTTTGGAAAAATCCACCGGCTGCTCATCAGCATTTTCCTAAGTGGAGAAACTAAGTTCACCCTCTGCAGGAGCCTGCAGCTCTGCAATGCATGATGGGATGATTTGCATATTTGGCTCAGTGCGACCTATCCAGCTTCAGACTGTTTGCATAAAACAACAATGGGCTCACTGCAAATTACAGCGTGTGTGTGTGCGTGTGTGAGTGTGTGTGTGTGTGGGGGGGGGTAGCAAGATGCTGTAGTGGTCGTTTACAACTTGATAGATGAGGAGGAAGTGGGTTTACTCTCCTTTATATTCCACAGAAAAAGGTGTGTATGCTTCATATATACCTGTGTATATCCACCACTTTATTACTGGTTGTATTGTGAAGCAATAATCGTTAAATGATAAGATAACTTTTTATATATTTCTCCCAAAGCCCAAATTTGGACTTCTATTGTAAATCTAGCATGAAATAAATATAACTTTTTTGACTTTTTATCTTTAATTTCTGACTTTCTTATTATTTAAAGCATGAGTGTTTTGTTTGTGTTTGCCGTTCTTAATCAGTCTGAAAGTGTTTCTTTTGCATTTTGTCTTTTTGTCTCTTGATGTTTTAGCTAAAGCGCTTCGAATTGCCTTGTTTCTGAAATGTTCTATATAAATACATTTCCCTTGAAGAAGAGCTTGAAACGTCACATATGGATGTGATAATAAAGTCCATTCAAACTTATGAACCAGTCTCAGTTTAGTCCTGATCCTCTATCAGACCTCCATCAGTAAACAGACCATCAGAGAGAAGATGGTCTGTTTCTATAGAGTTATTCTTAATGCTCGTCATCGGAGCCACCAGGTCGGATTCTGGTGAAACCAGATGAACTCATGCAGGTTCACCAGAAACTCCTTCAGCTCAGACTCCAGCAGAGACCGGTCCACCGTGGACAGACCCAGATCCTCCAGAAGAGACCGGCCCACCGTGGACAGACCCAGATCCTCCAGCAGAGACCGGTCCGCCGTGGACAGACCCGTATCCTCCAGCAGAGACCGGTCCACCGTGGACAGACCCAGATCCTCCAGCAGAGACCGGTCCACCGTAGACAGACCCAGATCCAGCCAGATTAACAAGTGGTTCCCACCAGACTCAGCCTTTCTATCTGGTTTCCTACATTCAGGTTTTTACTTTTTGTACTTTAAGTACCTTTTGATGCTGATATTTTTATACATATCATTTTTTTATTAAAGGTAAAGATCTAAGTTTATCTTCCACCACTGTCCTCATGTCATATATTTACATGTATATATATATATATATATATATATATATATATATATTAAGGAAAGGATCTAAGTTCATCTTCCACCACTGTCTTCAGGTCGCCTCTGTGGTTCTGCTGCGGCCTGTCCAGTAGGTGACAGGAATTCCCCATTGAGCTGTCTGACGAACGTGAAACACATAAAACCAAGCGAAGAAGAAAAAGCAGCCATTTGATTGGCTATTGCCTGGTGACGGACAGCTTCAGAGCAAAGCGCGACCGCTACATCTTCAATTTAGTGGAAGAAAAACCCTCCAAACAAACTGTTTTTTCTGCGTAACTTCTGCCTTTTACACAACAGCAGCGGGACATATTTAGGTCTTTAATGGCGGACTAACCAGCCTGCTGTGTTGTTTGCAAAGATAATGTAGTTTAGGTGTTTGTTTATCAGGTGTAACCGACGAGCTAAGGTAAGCTAGCTAGCTAGCATCACAGTTATACATAACGTTTGATGTTTGCTGGTTGTTTTATGTTAATAGGCATAAATATAACTATTTTATTAACTGCTCTCTGACATGTTAACCAGCTGCTGATGATGATACCTTCAGACAAACGAAAACTGAAGCTTTTATTTGTAGATTTCATGTAACGTTAGCAGCAGCTGTGCTTTGGAATCAGCTGTTTTTTCTTCTTTTCCTTCAATAATAACTTATTATTATTAATATTAAGAAAAAAATAAAATATATATTACTATATCATTATTAAAAAGAATAATATAATAATATATTAGAGTATAATTCAGATACCAAATGTATTTTTTTTTTATTGTGAAATAGTTTTGGCCCCTAAAAGAAGAATAATTAAATGATTCAATCCTTTATAATTGGGCTCTAAATGATCAGTTAATAAGATAATTAGTCTTTCTTTCTTCGGGCCCTTTACAGAGGTTTAAACTGATTAGTTCAGCTGATATTCCAGCAGTGTTAACCATAAACCCACCTTCTATTTCTAGTGTGAAGTCTGAAGAGCTTCGTTAAAGCAACACATCTGCTGTTAATTATGTTAATTTATTATGAAACTCTTGACACTGAAACAGGAAGCTGTTCGTATTTAAATCTGCACAAATGTTGATGCTATAAGCTTAAATTTTCTTTTACCAATAACTGCTGATTTATTCTCTTATTGCTCAGAGGATCTTTGTCTCTTTCAGTCGTCGGTCTGGTTGAACCATTGTACAGAGTTTTGTTCTCCATGTACTAAACAAAATATCTTTATTTGTGAAGAGAACTTTCCTCAACCTAAAAGCACGAGAGACAAGTTAGACGTATAGAGCAGTCCTCTCAGACATCTGCACCCAAACCTTTGAACGGTTGTTTTTGCTTCTCATGATTTTCCATCATCTTTTTTTTAAACATGCTACAATGTTTAGATGTTGATAATAACTTTACTTTTGTAGCACTTTTCTGAACAGAGTGACGGAATGCTTAAGAGTGAAACAAAATAACACTTGATGCTAAAATAATGAGACAGAAACATTTCAAATGAAGACATTAAATAAAACAATATAAATATGTGGAGCCTTCAAAAGTATGTTATGTCTTTAAATGATCAACAGTAATTTAATCTTGAACCAGAATTAAATGTAGTTTGTTTCAGCAATGCTTTTCTTTTTAGACCACCGGCTACGACTTCTTTGATTCGTTCCTGAGATCAAGGACTTAACACTGGCTGAAATGGACGAACAAAGTGTTGAGGTATGTACCACACACACACACACACACACACACAGCTGGAGGATGACGCCTGATAGACTGTAAGAAGAGGGAAGTCAACGGTCAAGCATTGTTATTGACAGCAGCGTTGTGATTTTACGATAAAACACTTTTGACCACAGCTAATGACTGTAAACGTCAGCTTGTACTGCTGATAAAGATGAAGAGAAACCGAACAAGTGTTTCTAAAGCCTCTTTCACACAAGCAGTCTGTCCTTGAAATGTTAATCTGAGCCGACTCGTCTCTCTCTCTCTCTCTCTCTCGTCCTGCAGAGTATCGCCGAAGTGTTTCGCTGCTTTATCTGCATGGAGAAACTGAGGGACGCTCGTCTCTGCCCTCACTGCTCCAAACTCTGCTGCTTCAGCTGCATTCGAGTAAGTCTGTCTCTCCACCATGCCTCTCATGGTGAATATGTTATCGACGTATCCTACGATATGTGGACGTGACCTAGAGGAGAGGAGGGAGAGGAAGAGACATTCTGCAAAAGGATGCTCCATTTAGGAATAATCCAGAGATTAAAACACGGACTAGAATGGGCAAAATTAAAACATCAGAGGCAAAGTTATCCTGACAAAGTATGAGGCAAGCTCCTAAAACACTGTTTCCTACATTTCCCATAAAGCAGTGCAGTAATGCCTTAGTAACCAATGATAGATTTGGGCATTTACCAAACAGAGCAAGTGTTAAGGGACTATTTGCTGCAGCGGATTAGTGATGCGTTAGTGAGTATCGTAGTAGAATCGTGTGTATTTAATAATGACGGCGTGTGTGCAGCGGTCGTGTTTCGATGAAATAATCATCAAACTGTCACATGTTGTTTGACAGCGGTGGCTGACGGAGCAGAGAGCTCAGTGTCCACACTGCCGGTAAGCGTCTGCTCACACACAACCCAACATTCTGATTGTTTATGTTCACAGTGTGTAAGTTATTAAAATGTGTTTGTCGCCACGCAGGGCTCCGCTCCAGCTGAGGGAGCTGGTCAACTGTCGCTGGGCGGAGGAGGTCACCCAGCAGCTGGACACCCTGCAGCTCTGCAGCCTCACCAAGCACGAGGACAACGACAAGGACAAGTGAGCACCTCCTCCTCCTCGTCTCCTTCCCTTCCTGTGTGTCCGTTAGGGTTGAAGGGATTTAAAAATGATTACTTCCTGGTTATATATATCTCGTCCCGGGATTTCTTGCCGTAATGAGTGAAATCGGATTGTAACCATAAACCTGATGATCATGTTGCTTTAATATTAGTTAGTTATGAGGTAGTAGAACAACAATTTGTTTAAAAAGTACATTAACTGTAGAATCTGGGAGTAATGGCTCACCTGTCTGACATTTAGAAAAACACAAACATGAATTATTGTTTATTCTGATCCGAGAGATTTAAATCTTTACTTAAGTTGCAGGTTTACTTAACGGTGCTGCTGTGACGCGTAACATGTATCGATGCTGCTGCTGTGTTACACCTACAGTCATTTAATAAACTCAAAGGAGAGAATACTTCATGCAAACAGTTGTGTGCAACAAACAGAATATTGGTTAAGTTAATCATGGAAATGTGCATTTAAATGGACATTTTTAACTGCATTAGATGCAAAATGAAAGAGACGAAACTCAAACACAGAACATGGCTGCACGGTGATTGGAGAGGAAGTTATAATTTTTTAACGAGGAGTAGCTTTATGTTGCTGACTCTTTGGCAGGAGATTTGTTTGGGTGGCTTGAGATGGCGCCCAAAAACCGGGGGAAAAAGAGTGAAATTTGGTAACATGAAATCTTTATTTAAACAAACAGCTGGTCTGTAAGCAGCACGCTGAAACCTGCAGCTGCACAGTCGATCTATTCATTTCAAAGTCTGAGTTTATCTGTGAGTTACGTGGAAGTGTTTAGGAGAAGGTGTCTTTGTTTCAGTACGTAGTCGTCTGTTCCAGCAGCTATTTTTTGCAGGAAACCAGAGCAGATTCTGGCTGAAATGCCAGAGAAATTCGAATTCCCGGCTAGTTTTTCATCCTGCTTCTCTTTTACCACATGCTCATCTTCCTCCCTCCCTTTCTTCACCATATGCATCATCGTCATCCTCCGTCTCCTGTGTTTTATACACGTGAGTTTTCATAACGCTCGTAGAAACACTGAAGTAAAACAGGTTTGTGTTTGTGTCCGTTTGATTTTCCCGTTCCAGATGTGACAACCACCACGAGAAGCTGAGTGTTTTCTGTTGGACCTGTAAGAAATGCATCTGTCACCAGTGTGCTCTGTGGGGGGGCATGGTAACGTTTCACACCTTTTTATTTTATTACAGTCTGCATACAAACCGCCACAATAATCACTTACAACATTTATTCAGGCTGCAACTAATGATTAGTGTCATGACCGATTAGTCTGTTTGGTCTCATAACGATGTCTTTACAACCAGAGACGGATATTCTTTTGTTTTTGTTGCGTCCAGCACGGCGGACACACCTTCAAGCCTCTGGTGGAGATCTACGAGCAGCACGTGACGAAGGTGAAGGAGGAAGTCGCCAAGCTCCGCCGCCGCCTCATGGAGCTCATCAGTCTGGTGCAGGAAGTGGTGAGGAAATCCAAACCAGCGTGGTCAAGACACGTTCACTCTTATCAGAGGATTAAGCTCTATGAGCTTTCCTGTAGCGCCATCCAGTGGCCAACAACGGGCTGCAAGAAAGATCAGAATACAGAATATTACAGCAGAACACTTACCACGGTTATTGTTTAAGTCATGGAGACAAACGGTCATTGAACCACCACTTAAATGACTAGACCACATAAAAATACCTTCCTTTAAAAAGACATTAAATATTCTGGTAACAGTGGAGGAGTACCGCTGACTTCCACTAGATGGCACCAGCATGTTGATGTCTCTGTGTGTGTGATTGTGTGATTGTGTGTGTCATGGGGTCAGGAGAGGAACGTGGAGGCTGTCAGGGGAGCGAAGGACGAGCGGGTCAGAGAGATCCGGAACGCTGTGGAGATGATGATCGCCCGTCTGGACAACCAGCTGAAGAACAAACTCATCACCCTCATGGGTAAGAAGCCTCTGATCTCTGACTCACTGCAGCTGTGTGCAGTCTGACTTTAGAGGACTGGTGACTGTGGTCTCTATGAGTTTTAGTAAACCAAAATTTAACTTAAAATGAAAGGAAAACACGGTTGATTTTACATTAAAATCTGTTTTTGTCATTTGTAATAAATCCTTAATCTCATTAAATGGACCAGTTTTGCATGTTGGTCTCAGGTCTAAATAAATGCCGCTTTTTTTTTTAACATAAAATGAAAAATAAAGCAGTGTTTCGTATGTCTGAAAAGACTTCTTAAGTGACTCTACGATGTGTCTAAAGGTTGAGACCTTAACATGCAGACTCCTCGCTGAAAGCCGGAGAGAGAGAGAGAGGAACCTTTTATAGCTTCGGGGGGGAAACTCAGCTGAAATATTTATCTGGACTGAGTGGCATTCGTGCACTCAGCGGCCTACAACCTGCACACGCTCACCAGCCTCCATCAGGCCCGACATCCAGCGCCACTGAAAATAGAAAATGTGTTCCTTCCCCACCAGGCCAGAAGACGTCGTTGACCCAGGAGACGGAGCTGCTGGAGTCTCTCCTGCAGGAGGTGGAGCATCAGGTTGGTGCTCTGCAGCAGCTCGCAGCCTCCATTCATTTAACATGTACTCCATGTTGTTGTTTGTGATAGTGGTGTACGATGGGGGTGTGTTGTGTGTAATGTGCATCTTAAATCCTCTCCACCCTAAAATCAATCATCAGATTCAGATGCTGATTGATTTAGCTTCAGAGGACGAGATCCACACAACTCTTTCTGACAGAAACTCAAGTATTGATGGAACATTTGCTTCCTTTATGAAGACTGCTGTTGTATAAACAGGTTTGTTTATTGTTTTGTTCTGCGTGTGTTGAACAGCTTCACTCCTGCAGTAAGAGTGAGCTGATCTCCAAGAGTCCAGAGATCCTGCTCATGTTCCAGCAGGTCCACCGTAAACCCATGCAGTCCTTTGTCACCACGCCGGTCCCTCCAGACTTCACCAGGTAGCCTGCTCGCCTGGATGTAACTATTCATTAAGACCGGGCAACACCAAACGGTGGACTGTGGTCCAAACCAAGTCACAGTTTAAGACGCTGGAATCAGAGAAGTTTGAGTTTATTTTATTCTGAGGATTCCGTCTTGTTTTCTTTAACTTGAAATATATCTCTTGATTGTAGTTCAGTGTTCTTGGACTCATTTTATTTATGGTAAAGAAAGCTGTTTGTTCTGCCGCACATGTTCAGTGTGGCAGCACGTTAAAAGTATCCTACATTTAAAAATAACAAATATCGTTGAAGTGATATAGAAATATACGTTGTTGTTTAGCTAGTAAGCTATCGGAGGCAGTTTAGACATTATGAGGTTCAGACCTTTGCTGGGAAATCTAACTGGACCTCTTTAAATGTTCATTAAATTCCTCTAATTATACTAATAATATACTGTAGAGTGTAGAATGTCAGAAAATAGTTTAAAATGCCCATTTTGTCTCAAAGATATTCAAATACAGGACCTACAGGCAGCAAGTATTCACATCTAAATAGATGGAAACAGAATGTTTTGAAATTTCTTCTTGATTCATGATAAACAAACGAGATTAAATTAATCTTTATTGTGTTTGTACAGAGTGCCGAGGCAAAGAAAAGCTGTTTAGCTTCAGACCAGAAGTGCAAAGTAATGTAGAACATAATAAATAATACTCAGAATATAACAAATCTATTGACTCATTGTTTGAGGACAATATTATACACGTATATAAGACTCAAAAACATGAACGTGTGCATTATGTGTCTGAAAAATTGATTCCAGGATGAAGTTTTTCAGTACAAACATAAAGGATGCTGCTTTGATGATTCAGTTGTGTTTAATGTATTAATGTGTGACTGATGATAAGAAGAGAGAGGACGGACTGTGTCAGCACGTTATTCAGTGTGTGAAGTGAATCTTATTCTGTGTGCTTTCAGTGAGCTGGTTCCGGCCTACGACTCCAGCACTTTTGTTCTGGTCAACTTCAGGTAAATCCTCTCTGGTTGTTTTTAGTCATGAGGACTGAGGAGGAGTGATGTAGAGAACCTGTCAATCACAGTGTAGCCCCGCCCTAAAGCACACCCTGCTTCATGGTCTGTTTGACTCTAAATGGACCATAATGTACTAAATGAACATCATGATGTATTGAAGAAGACTTGAAACTAGAGATTGAGACCATAAACTCATGTTCACAATGTTTACTGAGGTAATAAATCAAGAGAGAAGTAGAGTCATTTTCTCATAGACTTCTATACAACCAGAGGAGTCGCCCCCTGATGGTCACTAGAGAGAATGCAGCTTTAAGACATGAAGCATCGGCTTCACTCTTCAGAACCGGAGGTGTCTGCCTGGTACGAACCAGATGGTTTCGAGCGTGCTCCCACCTTTAGGGTACCTGAGTTATAACCTTCCTATTCTTACTTCTGCAAACCATTCAAATGTCAAAAAGAATCCTCTACTTCTACAGCCTTTATTACTACTTGATGCCACTGGTTCACCGAGTAGTGTTAAAATGTGTGTTTTTGAAGTGAACAGAGTAGACATAACAGAGAGGAAAAAGTGGTTGTTGACAAAGAGGATGAGGAGCGCGTTGAAGCAGTTCCTCCTCTGCTGAATCTATTTCAGAGGCTTTGTCCACTTGAAAGCTGAGACTTACACCTGGAGGACCCTAAGCGCCCATGAATACACATGGTGTCCACAAGGTTTGATGTGTGTGTGCGTGTTTTTGTGTGTTTGTAGCACCCTGAGGCAGCGGGCGGACCCGGTCTACAGCCCTCCTCTACAGATATCTGGGCTGTGCTGGAGACTCAAAGTCTACCCTGTGAGTTTCTCTTTTTATCTGACAAAATATTCTGCTTCAATACGTATTTGTTGGTGTTTAACCTTTAAAAAAAACGACATGTTCACTGCGGTTAAAAACAGTTCATTCACCAGTGTTGGAGGGACGGTCTAGCAGCAATCTATCAGCACCATGAATTACATTAATGTAACCACAATATCACACGTATGCGAGCATGTGTCTGTTTTTCCGATACACTACAACAATGAGGTGAAGCACAGAGAGAGAGATATATATATATAACAGGCGTTGCATCATTGAATATCGTTCAGTTTACGTGGCCAACAAACATTTCTGTAAATGTAAGAAATAATCTAACGGGTTCTAAGCTGTGTCTCAGAGTTACTAACTCTTGTTTCTTCAGGACGGTAACGGTGTGGTTCGTGGAAACTACCTGTCCGTGTTCTTGGAGCTGTCTGCTGGACTTCCTGAAACATCAAAGTATGAATCATTTCTTTTACATCTTTCTCTACAGTCTTTATGTCTTGAATGATTGGCTCGAGGACTTCTTCTTGTGATCATTAACAGGATGAATTATTACCAAGTTAAAGGATAAGATATGTATTTATTCCCGTGTAGGTACGAGTACCGTGTGGAGATGGTCCATCAGGCCTCCAGCGACCCAACCAAGAACATCATCCGGGAGTTTGCCTCCGACTTTGAGGTCGGTGAATGTTGGGGCTACAACCGCTTCTTCAGACTGGACCTCCTGGCCAGCGAGGGCTACCTGAACATGCAGACGGACACACTGGTCCTCCGGTGGGCTCACACACACACACACACACACACACACACACGACATCATCACCACTCTGTGTCCATCATGCTGGTCGTCTGATTGTCGAAGCTCAACGGAGGTGTTTTTCCGTGTTTGTGCTGCACAGCTACCAGGTTCGCTCTCCCACCTTCTTCCAGAAGTGCAGGGATCAGTACTGGTACATCAGCCAGCTGGAGTCGGCCCAGAGCGGCTACATCCAGCAGATCAGCAACCTGAAAGAGGTGTGTGTGTGTGTGTGGGGGTGGGGGTGGGTGGTCCAGGGGCGTTTTCAGACCTTCAAAGTGAGAAACAGCTTATTTAATGTGTTTTATTATTATTTCAGAGGTTGGCCATCGAGCTGTTTCGCCGCCAGACGTCACGCAGCTCCTCTCCCCCCGACATGAGGCTCTCTGGGGGAACCACGGCCTCTGAGAGAGACCCCCGCTCGGTGAAGAGCGACGACGACATCCAGACCGCTTTGACCAACGCGAAAAAAGGCCAAGAAGAAGAAGAGAGGACGCAGCAGGACGACTCTAATGTGAGGACGGAACATACTGAAAGGGCTTTCACAGAATTCTTTGTTGATTTATTGAAATGTAGGGACGTCCAAGTCAAGTCCTTTGGATAGAGTCTGATCCCTTTTTGTTTTGCTCTGAGAACACGCTTCACTTTCATGGTGTTTTGTAGAATTTGGTCCGTCCCGGACACCATTTTTGGGGCTTCGAAGCCTCAATGATTGCAAGAAAAATGTCTCACAATTACGATATAAGATCTTGAATGCAACTCTCTTCTGTAGTTCAATGACTTGAAGCTGCTGTTTGGATAGACGTGTAACGGGACGTTTGTAGATGAGATAAGAAACTTTATTGAGCCCACATCGGGGGGAAACTTAATTGTTGCAGCGGCTCAATATTCAGAGAAACAAGCAAGAAAAGTGACGAATAAAACTGAGGATTGGATGTGACCCTCATCCGTATCCCGATCTGTTTGTGACATTTTAAATGGCCCTTAAAAAGAAATCTCCACCACAAAGCCTGGGTGTGATGTCGGTGCCTCTGTGTTGTTCAGGAGCTGTCTGACGGTGACCTGGAGGTGGACTGTCTGACGGAGGAGGAGGTGAACCCGCTGGACGGCAGCAGCACCTCGGGGAGCTCAACGGCAACCAGCAACACGGAGGAGAACGACATCGACGAGGAGACCATGTGAGCTCGAAGAAACGATCCCCACACTCTAATCATTCACGCACTTTGTCGTGACTCTTTAATTATTTAGCAAACAATATACAGCAGTGATTAGAACATAAAGAATGCAAACGTCAGGTGTTTGGTCTGGAGAGAATGATGCAGACTTTATTATTGTAGACGCTATGCTTCACCGCATTGTTGTATTGTAAGAAGATGCATGCTCGCATACGTGTGATATTGTGGTTATATTAATGTAATTAATGGTGCTGTCAGATTGCTGCTAGACCACCCCGCTAATAACAATGTGTGTGGGAGAGTAAATCGATTTTTTTAGAGAATATTTCGTTAGTTAACAATTAATTTTGTAAATGATTACATCCGTCTGTATCTGCACAGGTCTGGAGAGAATGATGTAGAGTTTATTGGGAACCTGGAGACAGAAGAAGGAGAGCTTCCTGATGACTTGGCTGGAGCAGCAGGTATAACTCGTAAACAAATATATTATTTATTGTATATAAAATACCACAGTTGATCATTTTAACCCTGTTTGTGTCAGGAGGAGGTCAGAGGAGACCCGTCTCTGTTTGTTAGCAGATATTTATCCTCACAATTCAGCGGAAGGTTTGAACTTTTCACGTCCACATAACCGAGTAGTCATTTTCTCAGACTTCTATACAACCAGAGGAGTCGCCCCCTGCTGGCCAGTAGAGAGAATGCATGTTTTTAGGACACTTGCGCATCGGCTTCACTCTTTTGTCACTCTTGCAGTAGGGCTGCAATTAAAGATTACTTTCACTACGGTTTAATATACCAAATATTTAATAATTTTGTCTATAAAATCAGAGAATATATAGGAAGAAAACCCCAAAGATATCCAGACGAAGAAGACCAAACCAATCCTTAACGTTAGTTTAGCCGGAACCATCAGATATTTAATGTCCTGCCTCAAATAACAGCCTCTGAGGGAACTAAAAGCCTCGACCGCTATTTGAGAATTTAGGGAATCAAATCTATTTGTGTTGTCTGGCAGCTGCACAAGCAGAACGCAGCGATACGATGGTGAGCAGCTCGCTCAGTGTTTCACTGTGTTGGTGTTGAAAGGCACGAAGAGGACGATGAGTCATTGTTGTTGCACTGAACCCGCTTTGATATAGAAACACTTGGTGTGTGTGTGTGTGTGTGTGTGTGTGTGTGTGTGTGTGTGTGTGTGTACGTAAATGTGTGGGGGGGTTTGTGTGTGTGTGTGTGTCGTGATTTTTTTGAAGTTCTGCTTTTCTGCTATTATTCCTTTCTCTGTGGATTATTACAAGCCATCCACACAGAATATAAACCTTTATAAACTCTCTTCTTCCTGCAGGAGGATCCGGCTCCACCGTGCGTTCCTCACATCGCAGCGCTCGCGGTGTCGGAGCGGCGGTGTGCGGTGCCGTCGGTCCAGGAAGCAGCAGCAGCCTCCTGGAGATCGACCCGGTGATCCTGATCCAGCTGCTGGATCTGAAGGAGCGCCGCAGTGTTGAGTCTCTGTGGGGCCTCCAGCCTCGGCCTCCTGTGTCTCTGCTGCACAGCCAAGGTCTGCATTCCATTTCTCTCCTTTTGCCTTCTTTCCTTTTCTTCTCCTCCTCATTTTCTTTCCTTTCATTTCTCCTCATCCTTCCACACCTTCCCTTTCATTTCCTGTCCATGTATTTCTTCTCCTTTTTATTTAATTTCCTTTCCTCTTTCTCTCCTCTCCTTTTCTCGTCTCCTCTTTCTCTTCTCTCGTCTCCTCCCTCCATCTCTCCTCTTTCTCTTCTCTTTCTCTCTTCTCCTTCTCTCGTATCCTCCTTTCCTCCCCCATCTCTCCCCTTTCTCTTATCTTCTCTCCTCTCTTCTTTCCTCTTAGTCTCATCTCCTTTCCTCTCCTCTCTCCTCTAATCTTTCTCTTCTCTCCTCTTTCTCTCATCTCCTTTCCTCTCTTCTATCCTCTAATCTTTCTCTTCTCTTATCTTCTCTCCTTTCTTCCTCTCCTCTCTCCTCTAATCTTTCTCTCCTCTCCTCTCTTCTTTCCTCTTTCTCTCATCTCCTTTCCTCTCCTGTCTCCTCTAATATTTCTCTCCTCTTTCTCTTCTCTTCTCTCCTCTTCTTCTGTCCTCTGTCCTCTACGCTTCTCCTCTCATCCTTAGATAAAGAGGGAGTTCAGATGTATTTTGACTGCTTGTATTAATAGATGAAACAGTAGCCATGAACAGTGATGTAGAAGATTAAGCACCAATACATCGTGATGCATCAAGAATGAAGTTTCTCTAAAGGATTCGTTTCTTGTCCTCCGTCCAGCTCATCCTCACTCCAGGAAGGACCGAGAGCGGCGGCCTCAGGCGGTGCGACGCTCGGCTCCAGACTCGGGGGTCCTGATCCGCCTCAAGGCTCAGATGGCCGAGGTCCGCAGCAAGATGTCCGATGCGAAGAGTCAAGTGCTGGAGGCCCGGGGGAGCGGAGAGCCCTGGCCCGGCCCGTCGGGGGGGTTCGGTGTGGAGGAGGCGCCCTCCCACCACGCTGACTCCGAGCTGTCCGCTTGTCGTAAGCCGGGTGAGATGGACCTGCTGGGGAGAGCAGCTGCAGCTCGGTCCAGACCCTGTCGCCCTGGTGAGGACTGATACGCTGCTGAGGATGATGTTAGGATGCTTATAAGCTTCAGAGGCATGAACACAAGCTGGAAATCCCGAGTGAGACAACAGGAAGTAGGAAGACGAAAAGTAGGAAGACGAAAAGTAATAAGACGGCAGGTGGTAGAAGGACGGCAAGTGGTAGGAGGACGGCAGATAATACCACAGTAGGTAGTACAAGTAGTACGACGGTATGTAGCACGACAGAAAGTATTACAGGCAGTAGGTATGAAGTAGTAGACCACTCCTTCAGTAATCAAAATATAAATAAATGTTGCTCTTCATCGATTGTTACGTGCCACTAATGCACTAGTGCAGCCTCCTGAACTTTTACAACTGAAATACTATTTTTGATCTGATCATTTGTTCTTACATTATTTGCCAGTATTTGTTGCTCCCGTAGCTCCAACCAACCCGACATCAGCAGTTTATAAGAGAAGTCGTACCTGAAAATCATCATTTTCTAAACCACGTATCATTGTTTGGATTATAGGTCAGTTTAGAGCTCTTCATCATATTCAAACAGACTCTATTCAGACTTCACTACAGAGTCCAAACCTGATGTGATCCTACAGTTATTGAGGTCTATAGATTTAAGATAATTACATATTTGTCTCTATCTTTTTCCTGTGTGCAGCCAGGAAGTCTCTGTCTCCTGTCCTGGACAGCAGCAGCAGCAGCAGCTCTCTGGTGATGAAGAGGAGGAGTCCAGAGGAGCTGGAGAAGGACCTGAGAGGACCAGACGTGTCCACAGAGCTCAGCCTGCATCTCAAAGACGGGCTGGGAGCTGCAGAGGGTCGGTGGTCCTCTTACTGATCCTCCTGGTTTCTCCATATTTTGTCTTAGTGAGATTTTATTACAACTAGAAGCTACTCTTATCAATACTCTGCTCTTCTACTTGACTAAAAACACGTATAGAATCAGCATTAGAATTGATATTGTTTATAAAGCAGCAGTAGTAAATACTTAATGAGTACATGAGCCAACACGCCTTCAAAAAATCGAACTTTAAAAACAAATCATCTTAAACTCATGTTTTTTCCCGTCTCTGCTTCAGGAGCGCTGAAGGCTGACGGCCCCCAGGGGCCCCCCGTGTCTCACGGCGGCTCGTCATCAGAGCAGCAGGCCTCCACCTCCAAGCAGCAGCAGCAGCAGCAGCAGCAGCAGCAGCAGCAGCAGCAGTACTCGGTGGAGCAGCAGCTGTTCGGGGCCTCGGGGCCCCGGGATGACATCTTCTCCCTGGGGGGGTCGAGCTACATGACCGGCGGCAAGAGCAGGACCCTCGGGTGGGTGTTCGGGAGACTCGTCATACACTTCATGTCTCGCTCTCGCTCTCGCTCTGCTCTGCTCTGCCTCTCTCTGAGACTCCTTCCTTCTCTCTCTACCTTACAGGGCAGCCATGTTGGAGTGTGAGTCCGAGAGCTCGGTGAACTCCCATCATCCCCTGCTGGAGGGACCCTCTGCTCCGTCGCAGTCAAAAGAAGGTCTGCTGTGTGTTCTGATAATGACGCCAACAAAAATATTTAGTATGTCCCAAAGTCAGGGGTAGTATTTTAAACAGTGTGCACAAAAATACCAGGATGTCCTGCTGCATCCAGACCAAAGGGTGTATATTAGAGTTTTGCAACCGATGAACAGAAGTTACCACATCTGGAATGTGGAGGATTATTAGATCATCATTAGAACATCTGTGAGGAAGCTGGAGGACGATACTGTGCTCCACTTGGTTCTAAACCTGTATTGTATTCCTATTCCTACATAATGTTAAAGAGAATGTGTGTACAGCTCTGATAGTCCCATCCCGTCTTATCTGTAGATCAGTCGCCGTCCGTCCTGGTTGCAGCAACGAGCAGCGACAGCGACACCGAGGACGAAGCTCTGCAGAGCAGCAACTCTCGCTACGACAACCAGACTCCTCCCTGCTCAGGTAACCAGCTCGCTCACGACCTCCACGATTACTGAGACTGTGACGGATTTTTATTTCTTACCGCTGTGAAAAAAAGCAACGTATCCATCGCGGTTTGGCCATTGATGCTGCGTCTCAAGCCGCTTTGACGTTTTGGGCTGTTCCCTCAAACAAAACACGACAATCGTCAGTCAAACGTGGATAAATCTCTGAGTGCGCTGCGACAGTGTCTAAATTAGGGATCCAAAGCCCACATTGAGGCCGAGCTGCCAGAAAATGAAATGCAGTGAGAGTGAGATAAAACGGTAAAGCTGCGCGCCAGGAAAACAATCACAACACTGGTCAGGTTTCCATCAACAATTTAGAGCAATTTTTTTTTCTACTTTCAAGAAAATCTGCAACTTTGGTTCAGCGGACGTTAATCACACTTTCGCTCTAAAACGGAGGAAAGATTAGAAAATGATTCAACGTGGAACCGCCATAGTTCTGGCAAAGAATAAGATGAGTGCACTAAGTCTGTTCCTGTTGCACTTTGCCTCATTTAGCTTTTTTCACCTCAGCCAAGCTCAAAAGCTTTCCCTCCCCTCTCCAGGAGCTGAATCGGGTTGTTAAAGCTTCTGTTTATACTCTCGCTTGGCGCAGTAGCTCGAGCCTCCGCAGACGGCGTGCAAGCTCCGAGCACGGACGATGGCGTCGCGTTACTCTCCGAAACACCAGAGGACGTACACACAAAATCTACTGCGGAGAATCAAAAAGACAACGAGTGTAAATCAGACGTACATCCGTAGACTGCAGGTGTAACCGGCAAAAAGCCATAAACCAACCTCAACAATGACGAGGAGGGATTATAATTATCTGTAATCTCATATTCATGGACTACTTTATTACCTTTATACAAACACTGTAAAGAAACAAGTGAAGTATTAAATGCATTATAAAGAAACAAAGGTTGAATGTCAGCAGCAGCAGCGAGCGCCTAGTTTTCTTCTTCACTGCGGAGAGCATAAACTAAAATGTATTCTCAGTGGGTTCACAGGCCCCCCCCTCTTTATAAATACCACGCGATCCGTTGTTGATATGAAATATATTACCTCCAGTGTGTTGTAATAAATGAATAGATTCATTCGACCCTTGAGCATGCAGGTATTCACGTGTCTCGTACAGATGCTTTTATTGTGACATCCACCTCACGTGGATTTAAATGTTTGCACGAACACATTTGTGTCCTCTTCCTTCTCACAGGAGAGCAGCTTCTGTCTGACGACATGAGTCTACATGCTGACAGGTGAAAAAAAACACTGCTTTCTCCTCAGCGGCCCGGAGACGACACACTCACACACACACACCCTCACTCTCACACACACAGCTATGTTACACACGTGTGTAGAGTAGAAACTGCTTATTATGCATGAAGTCGAACTGAAGGAGATGCATCGACTCAACCTGCTTTTTTTCTTGTTGTCCTGAATGTTTTTCAGAGTTTCATGACAGAAGAGATAATGACGGCCAGTAATTCAGTTGGATGTTGTGATGACATAGTGTCAGTGTGAATACAGTGGTACTGGCCCTTTAAGAGGACCAACATTTCACCTCCTTTTCAAACTGGACTTTCTCCGTATGTCTCGACGTTGCATTATATTTATGATAAGGGGTGAACGTTACTGTCGGTTCTTTCATGGTCAGTTAAAAAAAAAAACGATACACAGCTGTTTGTGCAGAAACTGGATCTTTAAAACATGAACCAATACATTTCACCTGAGCTCCAGAGCCTTTAATCAGCACTAATCTGCACACCTTCTCACCGTATACATGCTGTTATACATCCAGTCTGCATCCTACAGCGAGAGTCTGAGGATGAACTGTTCATACTCTCTCAATGAGAGTGTTTTATAACGGCCTGCTGTTGATGTTTAGCTCAGACTGTCTGGGCTTCGAGTCTCCACACCTACTCACTTATGTCTGCTCTATTATTCACTCCTCAAACATTCCGCTTTAGTGACACCGCAGCTTTTCTTCTTCTTCCTGAGCCTCGTTTAAAAGCTTGTTTCTGGTAATTTATGTAAATGTCTTCTCTTAATAACAGCACGTCTGTCTCTCTGTGACATTTGAAAGGGTTAAACGGTCACTCGGATTATAAAACTTCTGAAGTCTGTGGGCTGAAACTTCAGACGTCGTAACGACGCAGGTGTGTGTTGTGTGTTTTTAGGACATCACTGACCCGAGTGTGACATGGCATCCACCCGCTGAGAGCCACCTCACTGCAGGTTTTTTGACATTTTTGTGAATTCATGCCATCTGTGGCAGAGTTAGATGAGAAGAGCATCACCGCTCTGAATGTTTGCTCGGTAAATATGAAGCTTCAGCCGGCAGCTGGTTAGCTTAGCTTAGCATAAAGACAAGGGAAGCAGCTAACCAGGCAAAATCCACATCTGCTCCTCTCCTCAGTGTGTTGACGTTTAGGTTTAGACTGATTTAAACTGTGCTGCTCTCTTAAAGGGACAGTTCACCCCAAAATGATTTAAAAACACACCTAGTTTTCCTCTTACTCGTTGTGCTTTTTATCAGTCTACATTGTGTCCGTTTCCAGAAACCATGACCCGGGTATTCAAGATAATCAGACCTTGTTGAGACATGGACAGACTTCCAGTTCTTACATTTGAAAAAGTCAACATCAACTTCTCCTTCCACAAATGCAACAAGAGACATTGCTGTTGAGTTTTTTGAGTATTTATTGTCGTATAATATTGGAGAGAAAGTCGGCATCTATACAAACCTAGACAACTCAAACCAAAACAATCTAGACTGATAAATAACACTACAGGTAAGAGGAACTAGATGTTGTTGTTGTTTTGGGGTGAACTGTCTCTTTAAGGTGGAAACTTTCGTATAAGTTGCTCCTCAGTCAGTGATGTCACCGCAGCCGTCGAACACAAAATACTCACAATAGATTTTGAGGAAAAGCTCAGATGTTACTAGAAGCATGAAAGACGTCTGTCGTATTAAAGTGTCCCAGTATGACCCAGTATGACCCAGTATGACCCAGTATGAGCCAGTGTGCACAAAACCAGGAACCTGACGCTGAAGCAGCTAAACGCAACAAATCTTTAATTAATGTCGTTATTTTCACAAGTGCTTTTCCTACTTTGACCAGTCAACATGTCTGCTGTGAGCTTTCGTCCTCATTAAAGGGCCGGTTCACCCAGAATACTTTGTTTTAGTGGAATATAAAACAACAACATGGATGACAGACCTGAGGGAGAGAAGTGGTATTCTGAGGAAAAAATAGATTTATTCTTTGAGATTTAAGTGATGGATTAACAAGAACAAACGTTGATATTCTCTGAGATTAAAGTGGTAAATTTACGAGATTAAAACTCAGGTCGGTATTTTGATTTCTTCTAAATAGTCCCGATTCACACAAAGTGTTTCCAAAGTCTGGATGCATTTTATAATATGCTGACTCTGGGGGAAATGACGAGTATTTCCTTATTTCTAAATTTGTATTAAAAAGTATAGTTTGATTACATCATCCATGTGTGGGGACGGCTGTGGTGCGATGAGGTTGATCCAACCGACGTAGCAAAATTAAAACAATCTATTTTTTTGTTTATTTTCTGGCAAATCTCAGAGAATTCATTTTCCCATGAATTATTTGGGTTTTTTCTCAGACATTTGGGAGTTTTTTTTCTTGCAATTTTGCCAATTTACGACTTTATTTTAAGCCATTTTTCTTTAATTAATGAAACTTTTTTTTTTTTTTACCTACAATGATCTGAATATGCCGTCATAGTAGTTAGTAAGTAAGTAAGTGAAACATGTTTTTGTGATTTTGGGTGAACAGACCTCCAGTAGAAACGGCTTTTTTACTTTTAATAGAAGTTGACAGCGAAGGTTTAAGAGCCAGTGTGATTATGTAACGTGTGCTTTGTGCTGCACTGACGCTCACAGCTTCACTGGCTTTTCTTCACCTCAATACTCTCAAACACGTGTCAGACGCTGTCGGAGTTTTCAAAGAACTTCCTGCACTTTGTGTGAAGTCGGCCGTCTTTTCTTCTTCACGTTATTATCTAGACGGTTAGGTAATCTTTGGCTCAAAGAAATGACATAATCTTAAACGTCTGCAGTCACTAGTTTGCTTTGTAAATACCTCTCGGTATATTCAGAAGTGGAGCTTTGATGTACATTTGCCTGAAAGTGCGAAGCTTTTCCCGGACTGAAGGAGGACCGACGTTCTTATTTGCACCAAGACGTGTCGAATCATTTCCCTTCACACGATGGAGGCTCTCTCCTCGTTTATCAACTTCTTCTCTTCTTTGTGCTTCTTGTGTCAAAAAGCTGCTTTCTATTTTGAATTGTTCCCAGAATGCGCTGTGCATTGTTTGATGTGTATATTTACTTATTTAAATAAATAAAATGTTTTACGTTCCCGGAAATGACCACATTCTCATGTCTTCTGTGAAACTTAAAATGTAGAATTTAGATTTAAACAAAATGAGGGTTTCTTGCGTCACTTTGCTTTAATTAAAGGGACAGTGTGTAGAAATGTAATGTAATATTTTATAGTATGTTTTCTTTAGTGTATAATCACCTCAAAATAAGAATAGTTTATTTCTACATACGGAGATGGTCACGTTTTTGTTTTTTTGGTATGAAGTAACCATACATTTAAAGTACTGTAGTGAAGTACAATTTTGAGGTATTTGTACTTTACTGGAGTATTTCCATTTTCTGCTGCTTTATACTTCTACTCACAGGGCGGTATTGTACCTTTTAATCCCATACATGTATTTAATATATTTAGTTTCTTTACAGATTTATGTTAATATTGCAAATTATATATTAACCAATCAGAAACCGCTTTATTGGCCAAGTATCCGTACACATACAAGGAATTTAATGCCGTTTTTTTTTTTTTTAAATAATAAAAATAATTTATGATGTATTGCTATAGATTAACGCCACATTTACCAGCTGCAACAAGTGATGAACACATTAAAACTTCACTAATTATAATCCCATAATATGACAATCCTGCAATGGGCCATTCTACATGATGAGTACTTTTACTGTTGATACTTTATGTATATTTTGATGCTGATACTTTTGTACTTTTATGTAAGTAAGATTTTGAATACTGGACTTTTACTTGTATTATTTTTATCCTGTACTATTAGGATTTTTACTTTCATAAAACATCTGAATATTTGCTCGTTAGATTGAAGAAATTCAGAGTACAATGCTTTTATTTCACTAAGAAATGTTGAGTATGAAACTATAATAAATTGTAAAAAACTTGGGTGTGTTGTTATCCTTTTTGAGTGCAAGTTGAGCTGAAACAATACAAGTAATATTCAGCAGTTGTATGTGGAAGCATTCAAACTCCAGTAACGGTTTGTTAGGTGTTGGTGGGAAATGTTTTGAGTCTTAATCTTGTGTTTTATTTAACTCTTACCTTTTTATGAAACGTTTATAGTCAATTACGCCCACTTCACGCAGCGATTGTTGATTCATTATTCACACAAACACCTACATTTTAATTTTAATAAATCAAGAGAGAAGTAGTCATTTTCTCATAGGCTTCTATACAATCAGAGGAGTCGCCCCCTGGTGGACATTAGAGAGAATGCAGCTTTAAGACATGAAGCATTGGCTTCACTGTTTGAGGTCTACACCTGGATTAGACTGAATAAACTCTTTGATAAAACCCTGTTAACTGAAGAACAGAAAGCAGAATAACGTCTACACTCCCACACGGTCAAACTGTTCCTGCTTCTTGTTTCCTCGCTGGAGGAAGTAACCTCACGTTCTTTCCTTGTCTCTGGATTTTATCACCCTGTTTTTTTCTTCTTAAAAACCCAAACTGCTGGAACAGAGAGAATAAAGCCAGATTAGAGTGAGAGGGTGAAATGATTCATTTCACAGAACGACTGTGGAGGACTGCACACTTGTTTTTCTGTAAAGCTGTTTATGTAACAGCAGACAGCACTGTTCCTCATGAAAGCCCTGTTACAGCATCACAGCGCTGCCGGCATTTCACTCTGAGAACACTTTGTTCAGGTTTCCTTTTCCTCTGTTGACCCGTCTACTGTGTGATCGGCATCACAGAGGAGCCAGATTAACGGGTTAACCTCTGATTTATACTCCAGTTTCACACAGATGGCTTCTTTTGTCATTTATGGCATTCCAAATATGGTCACTTCCGTTTATCGGTTGCAAAATCAACAACATGGCGATGGCAGTAATCCAAGATGGCAACGGGGAAATAGGCAAACTTGAGGCTTCAAAATGGCCGTCCACGAACCAACTTTCTCTGTTCCGTAGACCCTCATCAATGGTTTCAGATGTTCTTCATTTTCCGGCATGTTCACGTTGTGTAATAGTGATGATACTCGTTACCTGAACAGGTTGGAAGGAGATGCACGTTTCTGAAACGTAACGTTTTGTGTAAAAACATTAGCAGAGTACGTTAGCACATCACTAGCTCGCGTTAGCTCTTCTATGCTACTGAATTGTCGTGTCTTTATACTACGGTTCTTATATCTTACGAAAAAGTAACTCATTTTGTGTTTTCCTACAAAACTCCACTAACACGTGTCAAATTTTCACTTGTCACATTCATAGTCTTTTTCAAAATAAACGTACGTCTTCACAGGAAACAACTTTGGCAACAAAGCTATTGGTTAGGTTTAGGAGAAGATCGTGGTTTGGGTTAAAATAACTACGAAAGTGGTCGTTACTTAAGTACGGAAGTTACGTGACAAAGAAATCAACGTTGACTTCTCATTTCTTTTTTATAGGTATAGCTAATAACACTTATTGAGAACAGACTGACTGAATGTAAACACATGCTGCTTTAGCTACTTAATGATTGTAACAGTGAATAAAGAGGAAGAGTTGTTCTTAACTTCATCTTCTTGATCGCCAGATGATGTGGTGGTTCACTTTAACACTGATCTGTAGAGTAGCTTCTATCTTTATCTTTTAAACCTCTTTTCTTCCTGGATGTATCCTTCAAACACATATTGAAGACCCGTCTGTCTGCTTCTCCCTGAAGCAGATGATTTGTCTTTCATCGTGACGGTGTGGTCTCCATGGTACCGTAGCTCTGAAAGCTCGACGGGCCTTGAACACTTATTGAAATGAAACTATTTGAGAAGTTTAGAGCAGAAACCTTCGACCTGTAAACCTGTGACTGAACTCAAATAATCATGTGTTGTTTTTTTTAAATGTGCATGTCTTGATTTGTAAAGTAACTAAAGCTGTCAAGTGAATGTAATGGAGTAAAACGTTCAATATTTCTCTCTGAAATGCAGTTTAAAGTAGCTTCAAAATAGAAATTGTCATCATCAGTCATTAGATTTTTATTACTGATGCATTAATGTAAAAGCAGGATTTTACTGTTGTAGGTGGAACTCATTCTGAACTATTAACTAATTATTATTTTCATAATGGATTAATCTGATGAATATTTTTGCCATTAATCGATTGATTGTTTTGTAAAAATATTGAAAATAGAGAAAAGTGTTTGTCACAATTACTCAGAGCAAGAAGTGACACCGTCACATTTTTTTGTTTAGTCCAAACCTCAAAATGATTACTAATACGTTAACATTATTACTAATATCTTAACATTATAAGGAAAAGTCGAAAATCTTCACATTTGTGTAGCTAGAACCATGAAATATTTTTCCATGAAAAATGACTTGATCTTCATATATATTTGTGGGCAGAAATCATAACTTGTAAAGTAATTAAAGCTGTCAAATAAATGTAAAGGTACAATATTTCTCTTTGATGCAGTGAAGTAGAAAGTGGCATGAAAAGACTTGTGTATGGGTACCCAATGGGTAAAGCAAAGGATTCTGGGTAATTTAATGTAGCCTAATGAGGAGCAGAAACATGCAAACAGATCAGACAATCACAACTCTTCAGGAAAGAAAAGGCATCAGTCGAGGACTTGTTCTAATCTTTATATACATGATAATTAGTCACCGGTTACAGTACACATATTTTATATACTACAGGAACACATAATACAGGTACTCAATGTGTGTTTTACTGTTTTTTTTATTTGTTTTGTTTTTTAAACCTAACCTGCATGTTGAAGAAGAGCCAATCATGGGGTTTGTCTTCCTGCTTGGAGGACAAGAAGAAGAAGGGACCAATCACAGCCCTCAATGATCTCATTCATCCTCCCCGTCATAGAGCGCTGCAGGAATTAGTCCCAAAACCAGGACATGAGTCAGCAGTTTTGCACTTCTGGTTCCCTCACTTTGAAGTCAATGGACTTTTGCTTTGAGTCCTGAAATACGGTCTGTGGTTAAAGTTTAAGAGATTTTAAAGTTTTGTTCTACGATACAACATACGTCAGTAAATACCCCTCTAGTGAATTTTGCATCCAATGAATGGAAGTGATCATAATTGGACTGAGGAGTGACGTAGAGACGCCGTATACGTCTCTGGTTGAGACCTGTCAATCACTGTGTAGCCCCGCCCTAAAGCATCCCCTGCTTTATGGTCTGTTTGACTCTAAATGGACCATAAGTTACTAAATGAACATCATGCTGTATTGAAGAAGACTTGAAACTAGAGATTGAGACCATAAACTCATGTTTACAATGTTTACTGAGGTAATAAATCAAGAGAGAAGTAGAGTCATTTTCTCATAGACTTCTATACAACCAGAGGAGTCGCCCCCTGCTGGAGATTAGAGAGAATGCACACCTGGTTTATACTCACTAACTACACGTGATGTAGTTAGTTTACAGCCTAACGTTAGCTTTTTACTTCAGGCGATTGCATTCATGCTTTTAAAAAAAATCACAAAAATGGTGTTGATTTGTGGAGATCCATCTTTCTGAACAAAATGTGTAAATCTCATAAATGTTTTATTTGCCACAGAGTTTATTTTTTGCAAAAAATCAAACGGCAAAAAAGTCCCATTAGCTTATTGTCGAGGGAACCAGTGCGATGCTAACTTACGACGTTTGTCTACAAAAATGGTGAATGAGAAATTGACTTCAGGAGCTTCAGCATTTCTGCTCTGTGACCTTTCAAGTTCTGGCTGAGAGACACTTTTTTTTTTTTGTTGCCTCCTTCAGCAGAAGACAAATCCCTCAGAGAGCCTTTTGATGCAACGTCATTATTGCTTACAGAGCGCACAGCTTTTTGTGTGTGTGTGTGTGTGTGTGTAAATAGATTCATGGAGGGGCCCTCTATAGCTAAGACTGATTATGATTACCATCATCATCATCATCATCAGGGAAGGGAAACATCCGACTCAGAGGAACGTTTTTAGTGCAAGCAGAGCGTGAGTGAGGGGAGGAAGTGTGGGTTTCTCGAGCTTAGGTAGAGGATTCACCACAAGGAGGTGATGGTTTTTATTGCTCATACAGTGACGACTTCTGGCGGTTTTGCAATAAGATGAGTCACACTGTATAACTGATTTACAGGGGTTTTGATGAATGCAACCCATGGATCCTTGTCACTGTTGTGGTTCGTCTTTTTCCCTCCAGAGCGCAGTTCATCATTCACATCGTCACTGTGAGACTACATCAGTGAATCACAGAGGACAGAAAGGTACTGCACAGCTGCTCTGAGGTGTGGCCACAAGTACAACACGCTCCAATCAACGGCCACCATTTACACACAAAAGACCTCTTGTGATTTTTTAAAGATCTCAAAATGAGAAATCTATCTTTTCATAACAATACCATCTTATTGTAAGATGTTGTTATAATAACAAAAGACCAAGTATTCTGTTATCATGACAAAATAACAAGTATCTTGTTATGGCAAAAAAACGAGTATCTTGTTATAACAACAAAAAGAAGTAACTTGTTATGGCAAAAGACCAAGTTTTTTTATTATTATGACAAGGGACCAAGTATCTTGTTGTAATGACCGAGTACATATAAACATATTTAACCATTCTCCTTGTTTAAGACTCCTGACACAAGAAAACGTTGTCATCATAACAAGATCCTGTGAGTTTCCTCCATTTGACCCTCAGCACCAGAGCAGCTCAGCTCACTGTGTTCCTCTTCTCAGGTCAACGCCACGCTAAGCTTCTAACGCCAGCCGAGTTAGAATGAAAACCTACAAACTACAATTTGATTGGCATTCTTTTTAAGGCTGTAACAGATTATTTTTGAATGTTTTAAATTGGCAGCTGCAGATCGGAGATGCAGTATTTAAAGCCAATAATTAAACATTTTCATGTATATTTTTCTTTCTATTCATGTCAGGGTAGGAAAGCAGGGCGAGACAGCAGCTAGGCTACGATAGTACACTGAGACTCTTCCAGTGGAAAGCCAGACTGTTTCTTCAACACCTTTTTATATATTTTAGCAGCTCTTGAAGGCAGCGGCAGTGTTTACTGACTGATGCCCTTCTCCGGCTGTTCGATAGCATCAAATCCTCACCACCTCCTCAGCCTGGTGGTGTGAGATTCTGGGATCCAGATCCAACAACTGACCCAACTGTCGGGCCTCGTGCAGCACGGATTAAAACCATTGATTTACAAGACATAATTATTATATGTACACTCCTCCAGCACTCGCTCAACTCACAATTAGTACTTATATATATATATGCATCCGTGCCAAAGTGGCTATTGGAAATGATTTCCGTTGTGATCTTCTTGGGGTATCGACCAACGTTTTCGAGAGACTGCATTGATGCTTCAACAAAAAGGGATCCAGTGGCTTTAGATTGTTGAGTGTCTGGGCAGTACATTCCTCTTAAGATACTAAGATACCCCAAAGAAAACACCACCTCATGTTGACACCCTTCACCGAGTCTCTCGAGGACACTCCGGGACACATGAGGTACATTCTGATTCTCTTCACTAATCAGTCCAAAGGTTAGTTTACAGGAGAAGGAGCCCTCCAATCTCCCAATAAGACTGAAAGAAGGGAGGCGACGGCCCTCAAAAACCAGAACCCATTTGTCTGGGGGATCACATGTTTGGACCGGGTCAGGAAAGTGGAGGCACAATTTACGGAACCTGGTCGTCACTCACGTCCGGATGTTTGCAAAGTCACTGCATCAACCAAAATAATTGGGGAATGACTATGTTAGGGAATGTTAGGGGATAATTAATGCGTCCAAACATGACCGCTCAGTAAACTCCACCCCCGAATGTATGATCCATAACGGCAAAAAACTGCCAGAATGTACAATAATTTAACCATTTTGCGCTGCTTACGATTAGCAGTTGGTTTTATTCTGCGCTGTCTTATATGTGGACAAAATATGGGGTTTGGGGGTTTAGAGAACAGTCACTTGCTACCACAACAAATTTAAATATATAGCATAAAAAAGCAACCAAAGCATTTTTTTAGTACTTTAAAAATGAACGGAAAGACTGACAGCTGTAGCAACAGTAAGTAGGGGGAGGGGTTTAGAGAACAGTCACTTTAAATATATAGCATTAAGAGGCAACCAAAACATATTTTAGTACTTTTGAAAATAACAAGAGTTAAGAACTTTGGGGTAAACGTGGGTCAGGGGTTTACCTATGATGTCATAGTTTCACAGCAAGTGTTTAGTATAGTTTAGTCATTAAGTATGGTTAGATACAGTAATGCTAAGGTGTGTATTTTAAGCACAGATCAGTTAGTATGGGTGCTATATTAGTTTTTATCATATAAATCAGTATTATTTGATGATTACATTCGTTAATTATGATTGTGAGTTAGCGTTAAAGAGAAACTACCATGTTGCGTGTTGGGTATATGAAACCTATGAATGTGGAAGGTGGCATAAAGACTTGAGTTTGAACTTTGCTAACGTAGCTGATGACGGGGATGTTTGCATGTTATTTGAATTGGCTACGAAACTTAAAGGATGTGTTGGGAAACATACTTATAAGTTTGACGCGTGAGAGTGGTATCAAACTTCTCATCTAAGAAAATGAATAAACGCCAAACTGTTCCTTTAAAGTGGCAAAGAGTCTTCGTGCGACTTGTCCTTTTAATGGCTAATATCAACACATGGATTTCATAATTAGTGAAAATGTGTGTAAAGGAAGTCGGCTTTAGTAACACATATGGAAGGCACGTGTTCTGCAGCTTTCAACTATCCCGGCTCAACATTAAATAGTTTGCACTTATCAAGCCTGCTGGAAAATACTTCTAATGGGGATTAGTGTGAAAGTGAATACACTTGGAGTACTGTCCAATAGCTCTGTGGCCCAACAACAAAAATACATTTTTAAAAACCCAAACCCAACTTTCTCTCAGGAGTATATCCCCATCTGGAATACTGGACTACATGAAGCACTTATTCATGTAAGTGACTGCTAATCTCTTATAATCCGGTGTTAAGTGCTTTTATCTGCAGACACATTGTGGCTGGATAATGGCTGGGTCATTGACTGTGATGGGGAAGGGTAAAGAACAGCATGTGTCCCAGAAAACCAGGAGCTACAATTGTTCTGTCCTCCTCCACGAACTTCATCTGCCATCGAGGGATTGCTGTGGTTGAGAAAAGGGGAGCCAAGCTTTCGCCATTAGTTTAATTTAATGTTCGGTCGCTTGACGTTCTCGACGGCCGTCTCAAGACAAAATACGAACTGTGTCGTATTTACACCTGGGCGACATTAAATAGAAGTAAATAAAAGTATTTAGTGTACTTTTAGTTTAGGGCTGTTTTGTAAGCTTTGGTCTGGACATTTTAGCTCCAGTGAAGGGGAATCTTAATTCTACAGATGAGTACAATGCGGTAACAGTTTGGGGGAAGGTTCAATCCTTTGTCAACTAAAGCCAACCGATTCTTTAGCACAGCAACATTTCAGCTTGTTCTAAGTGTAACGAACATGTCTGGATATTGGCGTCTATGTAGATCATCTAGTAGGTAATGTTAAAAACATGATTGTGTTCATTAGAAACAAAATACTAAATAAGTGGTGAGATCAAATCTTTCTCTCTGCATGTACCCGAGAACAACATCTCTGCCGAGAGTGTCGAGCGACCGAGCATTTCAATTAATCTTAAAGCGTGTGTTCAGACTGAAAATGGGAACTTTTGCTTGTCTTGGCATTGAAGAGCTGTCGTAGTCCACAACAGACCTAAACTCCAGTGAGCTGGATCTCCAGTTCAGTCTGAACACAACCTGCATTTCCAGCTCTGGCTTCATGTCATCTGGTCACAATGGAGAGGATGCGGTTGTTTTAGCTTTACCTACAGCTTAAGGAGCAGGGCGTGTGTGGTAGTGGGCCGGCTTACATTTGAAATTCAATAACCACGACTACCTACTATCAAAGAATGACGTGTTGTTGAAGGCTGAGGCGGGTCGGGGTGGGCTGAGGGGCAGGACCGGACAAATGAAGGAGATGGTTTTGGGTCACCTCTCTTTAGATGGTGGTACCGTGGGGCAGGTGTGGCGTCGCCACCCCGGGCCTCCGGTCAGAGTGGTGCTGCGTGTGCGGCAGCAGGTGGCCGGATGGTAACAGGCCTAGCAGCTGCTTGGATGCGCCTGGCCTCCTCCGGACCCACCGTCGAGTACCAGAACCGGGCCTGTGGCTTTGCCTCACTACCTGGCCTAACAGCGTGGCCGCCTGGGGCCACAGCGGGTCCGTGAAGCGAGAGACGCCGGGCTCCTGAAAGGGGATACAGGACCTGCGCCTCGGCGGGCGCTCTTCTCGATAGATACGGGAGGCCGTGTGGAGGTCGGGGCTAAAGTCGGAGCAGGGTTGCCGTGAGTTCAGGGAGATGCGGCCCTCCAGCGACGGCACCATCAGGTCGAGGCTAGTTCTGTCCGTGAACGAGTCCGTTCGGTCTTCGTAGCCGAGGTCAGCTGGTGCCGAGCACTGCTGCATGGGCCAGCCGCCGCGACCCTTCCCCCCGATGTCCGCAGTGCTGCCGCCCTCACCGCGCTCCGCCTTGACCGCCTCGTCTTCCTCCTCCTCTTCCGGTTCCTCCTCCTCCACCTCCGCGACCTCCTCCTCCCCCGCCTCTTCGTCCGCTACACCCTCCTCCTCGTCCTCGGCGCCGGTGGGCAGTGGCGACCGCGGATCCCGCAGGAAGACCACTATGACGGTGATGTTGTCGCTGGAGCCCGCGTCGCGTGCCGAGGCCACCAGCTTGTGGGCCACCATGGTGGTGTCTCCGGTGTTCTCCTCCAGGTGGTCGCTGACGACCTGCACCGCCTCGTCAGGGGTCATCGTGTCCCAGAAGCCATCGCAGGCCAGGATCAGGTAGTCTTCTGAACCGTCCAATGGGAAGATGTCGTGGTCTGCATCACCACAGATGTACGGCTTGTGCTCCGAGTCGCCTGCCGACAAAGGTCAACAGGTTATTCTGCTCGGGTCTGGATTCTCTCGTTTCAGCAGACAAAGTCAAAACAAGAGTAAATACTACATGTTAGTGGTGTAACGGACCTCACGGTTCGGCACGCATGTGAACCTCTGATCAATTCCACAGTTTAACATTAACCGTCACAGTGTGAAATAAAGTTTCACTGACGATCGTTATGCACCAATATTCAGTAAAATATGTGATCAGGACATAATTTATGTGTTTCTAGTCTCTGATCTCTGATCATGTTAAACGTTAACGTTAGCAGCACCGCTAACGGCTAACCAACGGTCCACTTCAGTTACATTATGATGCCTTCAGGCTCTGCTCAGTGAACATGAGTACTGGGGGAATGTAAATGATGACGTTATCATGATGTGTTCACATGTAATCTGTAAAATATAGTGTTGGTGATAAACTTGAATAAATCCAGTTTAAAGTATAACAAAGTATAACAAAGTAAAAGGATAGAATTCAGAATTAATGATAGTTTACTGACTTCAGAGCGGTAAAAATGATTTTTGTGACGGATGGATCCTTGTAGATCAGCTGCTATAATTAAACTATCCGGTGTGATTTGAATGATCCCTTGCACCACCACCACATGTGACGCACTGAGTATCAATACTTTACCTATTGCTCTGGATACAGACAGACTGCCGTTAACCCTCCATGTGCCAAACCAGATCACGCAGCCTCCCAGAGCCTCGATCCTCTGCTTCTCATCCTGCAGACACACGTGAAGCACAGTGGTGAAGACTCTCACATGTAACGTAAGTCATTAATGAGCTATTTCTTTATAAGTTTAAATGCAATACAAAATTCTAGTAGTTGTAAGATGTATAAATTCAGCACCGTTTGTTTGTAATCAGCCGTTATATTGATGTTTGTCTTCTTTCCTTCCATTACAACTATTTTTAACGAGAAAGAAATGGTGTAATTCAGACACCAAATGTTTTTATTTAAATGAAATAGTTTTGTCCCCAAATGAAGAATAATTAAATAATAAAAACGTCCATTTAGTCGACGTCTCCACAGTGTTTAATACTGGTGGAACTTGGATGTTGAATTTGTTTTCCAGTGACTCTCGATCATTATTGAACTCTAGACATTGATTAAGTCTCTCTGGAGTCTCCTCGGTTGTTAGATTAAAGAGGTTTAAACTGTGATTAGTTCAGCTGCTATTCCAGCAGTGTTAACCCTAAACTAACCTGTTTCTAGTGTGGAGTCGGAAGAAGAGCTTTGCTAAAGCAACACGTCTGCTGTTAATTCCAGCTCGTTACAGGCTGCTTTATTGTGAAACTCTTGACACTGAAACAGGAAGCTCATCGTATTTAAATCTGCACAAATTTTGATGCTAAACTAAGATTTCTTCTATTCTTATTCAACTGCTGCTCAGAGGATCTCTGTCTTTTAGTTGTCAGTCTGGTTGAACTGTCCAGCGTTTTGTCCTCCATGTACTAAACAAAATATTTGTTTGTGAAGAGGACTTTCTCCAAGCTAAAAGCATGAGAGACCATTTAGAAATAGAGTGGTCCCAGACATCTGATGAGTACACAGTACGATAGATATCATGTGAGTGTTACCTCTCTGTCTGGTTTGTGTGGCTTCATCAGCTCCACCGCTTGTCCTTTCCTGACCAGAATGACCTGGGAGTCTCCCAGCCAGGCCACGTACAGCGTCCGACCCCGAAGGAACGTCACCACGCCCGTCGTGCCGCAACGCAGACGCTGCCAAACACGGACACACACGTTTCAGTGTTAAGCGCGCGCACACACACATACACACACACACACACACACACACACACACACCAAAGCAGCAGCTGCAACACGACTATACTTCATCAGATTACTAACTGGTGAAAAGAAATTCCATATTTGTGTTTCAAAGGGAAATAAAGACACAAATAGAGGCGATGGGATCAATATGCATAACATAAAACATCCCCGGTTCCTGCTGGTGTCTATTGCTACTAAAAGATGATGTATTAATCCACCCAGTAGTATTTAGAGTAATTACAATTAGCTCCACCTTCACCATCTGTAACATTAAAGTGATGAACTCATTAATCCACCAATTACTGTAATCCGATAATATAATATACATATCATTCTGCATATTGAGTACTTTTAAGACAGACAGACAGATGTACTTTAATAATCCCTAATTGTAAATATATTGAAAGTATTAAGTATATTTTGATGCTGATACTTTTGTAGAGTTACTTGAGGGAAATTGACTTGTAACAGAGTATTTCTACACAGTGGTATTACTACTTTTACGCAAGTAAAAGATTTGAATACTTCTTCAACTACTGCCATTAAATTTGACGCCACCATTGGACACCACGTGCGTTTGATCGCCCGTTGCTCTGCTGCAATCTGATTGGCTGTCTGCCACGTTCTGATGTCGTCATTTACACGATAATTGTTATTTGTCATGTAAAAAGACGGACAAACAACAAAACAAACTACCAGCCGCAGTTATCACAGTAGTCGAAGCATCAGTAGTAAAAGTAGCAGTATTAGTAATAGTAGCAGTACTGTGGCAGTAGCAGCAGTAATAACAGTAGTAGTAGTAGTATTAGTAAACAAATACACTACAGTTAACATATTGTTGCGTTGCATAATCCACAGGAGTACAGTGCTCAGTACTCTGTGTGGTCTGATGTAAAGTTCTGCATCCTGCAGAAGAGGTTACCTCTCGTGAGGCCTTCTTCACGAAGCGCTCGTCGGTGACTCTGAAGGCCCCGCAGAGCGCCTCGATCGGGTCCTGGTTGAAGCATTCCTGTTGGACCAAGTTGACGTGGAGGTGGTTGGCAGCGTAAATGGCCGCGTCCACGCCGCCGTGGCCGTCAAACACAGCAAAGTAAGCCTGTTCTTCCTGATCCTGAGAGACGAATCCAGTCACACAACAGGGTTAAAGGTCAACTAACACCACAGGTGTTACTGCAGGTTAAAAACTAAACAAAACTCCTCGCAGTAAACCAAAGATAATAGTTGTTGATTGTGCAACAGTGACTTTAATGCATTAATATCCTGACAACAGGAGAATGTATGACAGAATACACCCTTTCACACTCACCTCCAACTTTGTCTTTGTAAAAAATACAAGTACAACTACATCTGCAGGCAGGTGTACTGAGTCAGTGCACAACTTCAAATCACAGACTGTAGTAGATGGCTTTCTGTCTAATGCTCTGAGTTTTTAAATTTAACAAAAACGTTTTTGAAGAACATAACTAACAAAATTACAAATAATTGACATGCTGGAATGTGACACACTGGTTTGGTGTAATTTGTACAATTTATCGGCAAAATAAATGATTTGTGGCAACAACTGAATATTAAATTTGGTAGAAGCGGATGATTTTACAATTAATTTTACTTTTATAACCACATATGTTTATTATTCACAGAGCTAAACTGAGCAAACCTTCACAACATTGTTTTAAACCCGTTTAGATTGACGAAGCAAACAGCAGTGTTGTTAACCGTGTGTTGTTATGCAGGTATCTAAAGTATCTGAAGTATCTGAAGCATCTAAAGTATCTGAAGTACTTACCTGAATGTTGAGGAGCGTGTTGAAGTCGGGGATGATGACGTGCTTGTCCTCCATCTTGCGCCTCATGTTCTTGATGGCGTGGATGGAGGTCTCGTAGTACGGCTGTGGACGGCGTCGGAAAGGCAGCTCCTTCAGCCAGAGGCAGCAAATCTCAAACAGCTGGTTGAACACCAGCCAGGCCAGCTTCACAGACTCCATCTCTAACACACACACACACACACACACACACACACACACACACACACTTTTTAATGGACTTAATGAAGTGAATGACAGCACTAATAATATCAGAAATGATAATAAAAAAATGATTACTACCAATAATAACAGCATATATGGCCTTATACAGATTAATAATATCACTTCCTGAACAGATTTCACAATCAGCTGATGGATTTATTAATAGCTTAGCTTTTGAAATCACGCTGAAGTCACACATCTGCTGTCATAACATCCTGTGGTTGGTTTTAATAACCGGGCGAACAGATGAGGCGTGAAAGCACCCTAAACTAAGGCATCAGCATCAATTTAAGGCGACTTAAATACACGAGGCAGCATGCAGCAGGCGGACAGTCAGACGAGGCTGTTTTGAGAGATTTCAGCAGGTAAATTGTGTGTAAAATCTGTCAAGAATTACATTTTTGAAATTAACACTCCCTCCAGGGAGCTGTTTTACTTTTTCAGAAGCTGTCATTGAGAAGTTAGTGGAACAGAGGCAAGCACAGAGGCAGCTCCGTGTCTCTGTGATAACAAAGTGTTCATGACCTACTAACGTTAGCTGCAGGTGTAACAGTCTCTCACAAATATGGTGTCCGTGAGACAGAGACAGGCCGGCCTACGCCGTGTCCCATTTCCTCCCTTCACCCTTCTAAAAGTACATAGATGTCAAACAGCGCCTTAAATGTGAGACTTCACTTCAAGGCTTACCCAGAACACCTTGCAAAACAGCTGAAGGTAAAAAGCAGCAGTAGGGTGCAGTGAAGCCACGTCACACAGGCGGTTATACAACACAAGAAGTTGTTACTGTAAGAAAGCTCACACCGTGAGCAGCAGGACGCTTTAAGGCCCTCACAGTTCAAACTGAAACTCTGACGTACTTGTACTTAAGTTTACATTTTCTACTCCTAATACAGAGGGAAATATCGTACTTTTTTACTTCACTACATTTGAAAAAAACAGTAGTACACAAAGTATGATAACGGAATAATATAATATTCTATAAAAATAAAAACACTGACAAGAGCCTTTCTGCAGAATGATTCATTGTACTTTGATACTTAGAGTGCATTTTACTGATAATACTTTACGAACTAACATTTGTTGGCCTGTCGGTATGTTTTGGTCCGCCCTCTAGTGGTCAAATACCACTTAATGCAGCTTTTTACGGGGGAGAACTGGGACAAAGCCCTGGTGGTTAGATGCCTGCTGTGTAAGTGCGTGTGTGGGAGACCTAATTTGACTGTGAATGTGTGTGTGTGTGTGTGTGTGTGTGTGTGTGTGTGTGTGTGTGTGT